TTAAAATTAAACATAAGAGCTGGGTGTGGTGACGCACATCTGTAATCCCAGCTACTCAGGAGGCTGAGGCGTAAGAATTGCTTGAACCCGGGAGGCAGAGGTTGCAGTGAGCCAAGACTGCAGCACTGCACTCCAGCCTGGGCAACAGAGTGTGACCCTGTCTCAAAAACAAAAACAAAAAAACATGACTACTCCTCTGAAGCTCCCCTCATGCATGATACCCTGACACCCTTCCAGTCACTATTCACACCCCCCCAACCCCAGGGAATGCCAGCGCAAATCCCATTCTGGTGTATTATTAACAGTATCACAGTAACGCTCATTAGCATATATTTTAGTCAATGGATGGATACGTTTCTGTTGGGTATGTACTTAGGAGTGGAATTGCATATGTATGTTAAGTTTTAGTAGAAACTGCCAGTTTTCCAAGTAGTAGTACCAGTTTACACTCCTACAGGTTTTTAGATTCTAGTTATTTAACATCCTTGTCAATTAGGGATTTTCTTTTCTGTTTCATTTTAGCCATTGTAGTAGATAGGTCTTTGATTCCATTTTGCTTTAAATTTGCACTTTCTTAATGACTAATGAAGTGAGGCTCTTAATGAATGAATTTTAAAGTTGTTAAAATTTTCAATCTTATGGTTGGGCACGGTGGTTCACGCCTGTAATCCCAGCACTTTAGGACTCCAAGGCAGGTGGATCACTTGAGGTCAGGAGTCTCAGACCAGCCTGGAAAACATGGCGAAAACCGTCCCTAGCAAAAAAAATACAAAAATTAGCCAGGTGTCGTGGCATACCTGTAATCCCAGCTACTCGGGAGGCTGAGACAGGAGAATTGCTTGAACCCTGGAGGCGGAGGTTGCAGTGAGCCAAGATCATGCCACTGCACTCCAGCCTTGGTGACAGAGCACAACTCGGTCTCCAAAAAAAAAAAAAAAATCAATTTTATTAAATTTTTGTTTGTTTGTTTTTGCTTTTTATTTTGAGACGGAGTCTTGCTCTGTCGCCCAGGCTGGAGGGCAATGGTATGATCTCAGTTAACTGCAACCTCCGCCTCCCGGGTTCAAGTGATTCTCCTTGCCTCAGCCTCTCAAGTAGCTGGGACTACAGGTGCATGCCACCACGCTCAGCTATTTTTTGTATTTTTAGTAGAGACGGGGTTTCACCATGTTGGCCAAGCTGGTCTTGAACTCCTGACCTCGTGATCCACCCACCTCGGCCTCCCAAAGTCCTGGGATTAGAGGCATGAGTCACTGTGCCCAGCCTGTTAAATTCTTAAGTTTAGTTTTATTGTACCTTCTTGGTGAGAGTTTTTTTCTTTTTTCCCCCTAAATTTTTCCTCGAAAATCAGCCTCAAGAATTATAGGTAAATACTGCCTTTGCTTTTTTGTATTTGTTTCTGAAATTTATTTACTTTATAGTGTCTGTTTTAAATGATAAAGCACAACTTGTTTTAGCTGGTTTTTAAAAAGAAAAGTATAACTATAAGTTCTCTGAATCCCTGAGGGATGGCTGTATTCTGAACCTGCCAATGTGAAATCTGTGATTTGCTTGGAATTCAGGGTTTTCCCTACTGGCTGACCTCAGAGTACTGGGAAGAAT